TGAGTGTTCCTAAACCCAAAATATGCGAAGAAAGTGCATAGGTGTCTTCAAGCATCAGATTGGTTGAAATATGAACGTTGTACAAATTAAGCTTTTGGCTACTTACTTAAAATAGACAATTCAAAGCTAAACTCAATGGGAAGAGTCCCAAATGAATGAACTTTGAGTGAATGAATATCATTAAAAAACAGAATGTACACCATGAAAGCTCATTGACTACCTAAAAATTGTAGAGAAGCGTTCTTATTAAGCGATCAACCATAAATTCATTAACTTTTAATAATAAGCTTTATTCTCAAACCTGCAAAGGAAACTTCCCTAAATTGAAGAGAAGTTTGGAAATGACAATAAAGTCCGATATCACAATAATGTGGTAATTTCATCGCTTGTTTTATAATAAAAAAATTATCTCACCAATTAAAAGTGTCTCATAATTCTCAATTTCAAATGATTTCTTAGAATACAATTTATACTACATATCATTTTGGAAACAATTTTATAGAAGTGCCATATTTTTTACAAGTAGAAGGTGAGTGAACAAATTTAGAGAAAACTGAATATATTACATTGTCGCGTGATATTCAATGCTCCCTTCTTTTCACTTCCAAAGTTTGATTTTGATAGAGCAGCCATATCATTAGCCTATACACACACACACACACACACACACACACACACACACACACATATATATATATATGTGTGTGTGTGTGTATGTATATGTATATATATATGTATATATATATATGTGTGTGTGTGTGTGTGTGTGTATCTCCTTATATGATCTTCTTATTTTTTGAATGGTGATATAAGATCCCTCGAAAAATTTAAAGGTTTCATTGAAACTTATCAGTCTGCATCTGGACAGACAATTAATTTAGAGAAGAGCTCAGTAATCTGTGGGAAAGATGCTGAAAGAAGGAAAAACTCCATCAAAAATATGCTAGGTATGAAGACAGTTTCTTTACCTATGAAGTACTTGAGAGTGAATTTACATAAAGGAATCAATAAATATAAATACTGTGATCATTGATGGAGTATATGGCCCGGGAACCCCCCGACCCACAGACTCCTATTACTCCAAACAAGGCCCAACAGGCCCAGAAGGCCCAATCGGCCCAAATCACGGCGCCCAGAGTACCAAGCTGCCCGCAATACGCACCAGGGATGCCTTCGGCCCCCTGGCCGAAGGCTCTAACTCTCACAGGAGGGCCAAGACAGCAAAACAAAGTTACAGGGGAAAACGATGAAAAACAGTAGCCCTCGGCACCTGGAGCCCTCGGCACCAAGGCGGTCCCCGGTACTCAGAGCCCTCGGCTAGTCCTCTGCAGCTGAGGGCACCTTCCCCGACATGATATCCGCGCCACATGCGTACAGATCACCGTACCCTGCACAACGTCCCATCCAACAGACGCATTTAATGCGGCCACATGCGGTTGCCAGCGCCAACCAATTGAGGTGACCCCTCGGCCAATGAACGCTTGACACATGTCCCTGTCCGGCATTTATTGCTACTATAAATAGCACCCCGTTTCCCCGTTTGTAACCAAGCCATAAGACGCTGAAAACGCTCCACATTTTGCAATATACTTTCTCTCTCCATATTCACTTGCTCTGACTTCTCTCTTATTACTCCCCGTAATAACCCCTCGGATAAGCTACCCCCCGGGTACACTATCCATCAATCATATTATCAAACAATTTGAAAGCAAATTAACTCCATGGAGACAGAAAAACTTATCTTAGAGTGGCAAATTGATATTGATAAAACATGTCTTGAATTCTATTCCTCTACACACATTGGCTGCTGATAACATGCCCAGAAAAGTTAAGAGAATACTTGAGAGTTAAATGGCAAGTTTCTTCTGGGGTTCTTCTAATCAAAAGCCTAAATATCATTGGAAGAAATGGAAACATCTTTGTGTTCCTATTACAGAAGGGGGTTTAGGAATCAAATCTTTGACTGACCTAGAGAAAGCTTTTACTCTCAACACTACAAGAAATCAGATGTATTACCCACACATAAAATAACTACACATATTATGTGTGGGTATTTAACCACACATAATTTCACTATGTGTGGGCAATTAGTGAACGTATAAATAACTAATTAGACACATATATTATGTGTGGGTAAAATTTTTTTCTCACATTTAAATTTAGCGGGAATCTTTCCCGTCTTTTTTTCATTCTAGCGGCACTTTTTTATATGACGTGGTAAGTACGTGGGATTTTTTCAGTTTTTGAATTACCCACACAATTCAAAATGTGTAGGTAATATTGTTTTAATTAGCAACACATAAGTAATATGTATTTTAAAAGTGTGGATAAAACCTGAAAAGTGAATTATCTTTTTTCTAAAAATAAAGGATAACCAACCTAAAATACACGTCACCCGCCCATTAGGGCCTCACAGTATACGCCGCCTCACATCTTCCGTAATTCCATGCCTAAACCTAACATATCACTGCCGATTTCTTCTGCAATTCTAAGGAATCTTCTCTAATTGGCCCGAAGGAAGACGAATCGGACAGATCGGAGAAAAAGGTTTTGAGATCTTCTCTTATAGGCGACGAAGCAGAGGTAAATTTTTTTCCTACGACTTTACCCATTGTTTATTTGATTTCTTAGTTCAGTTCATATTACTGATCTCCTGAAGTAGAAGTAATTAAATAGTTGTGCTTCCTCTTGAGACTCTGGAGAGCAATATTTGCCAAGGAATTTTAGGAATCATCAGGTGCTACCATGGTTCTAAAAATCCGGAAAATCGCCCGCCTAGGCGCTGGATACTCGCTAGGCGGACAGGTCTCGTACTGACTTTCAGGTAATCGCCTCTGTAATCGCTCCGCCGATTACTCGGCCGCCCAGACCGAGAACTTGCCTGAAAATCGTCCGCCTAGGCACCATATTAGTATGTTCAAAAGCATTTAAAAACAAAATGCATTTTTTTGACTTTTTTTACTCCAAATGACGAGGACTTCGTATTTTGACTTTTTGATTTCAGTTTATTTTCACAGAATTGCATATAGTTTTATTGTAAAAATTGAAGTCAAATCTTGTCTGCTCCTGGTACTTTCTGTTTTGAATGGTTGCAACCCAAAAATATGAAAGCTTGGATGATTAGTTAATGTAAAAACTAGACCTGACATGTTTGTTTTGTCTGGGTTTACTTGAAAGTTGAAACAGAGGAATCAATGTAGTAACTTTATTTTGAAAAAACTGTTTTCTAATTTGAAAAAAAAAACACATCAAAGGTGATTTCTAGTTTTCTGGGAAAACGTAGATATTGAAGAACAGTATCTGCTTTCTAAATTGAAAAACTGGTGAAGTAAACATGTTTTCTATTTGTTTTCTAAATTAGGAAAATATGATTAGTAAATGTGTTTCTCATTTTTCAGAAAAATGGAAAAGTTATATTTTAGTAAAGGGCGTCTAAGGCTCTCACATTTGTGACCACTGTCCAGCTGTCTATAGAAAATGCTATAGGTATGGGATACACTGCAAAGTTGTCTTCTATTAATCATATCTTGTGTGGGTTGTGTGTGCATACATGGGAGCAAGCATTGCAGATTCATAGATTTGATGGTATTAAGCTGAAATAACTGATTAAAGAACAAGACTGAGGACATATTTTGGTACCTCAGACAAAAATGCCTCCCTAATAGCGGCTACAAATTCCAACCTGCAGAAGCTCATATAAAAGTAAACTTCATGAATCAGCTCTCGACACATAGATAGGCCAGTGGTCACTGAAGCAACTTTTGTTATGACATAGCCTTCGGATGAACTCGCATTTTTCAAAACAAAACAAAGACAAAAGCTGCAAAAAGTGGGAGATGTGATTAGTGATCCATTATTGTCATTATAGTTGTTACTGTTTAGAAAGGTTGCTAGATTTTTACTTAATTACTCCGTATTATATAACAAAAAGAGCATGCAGGGAGATGGTGGGAGTGCGTTGGCACTGGCAATGCCACAGTCTTCTTAAGAAAAACATCTCATTTGGCCACTAAGACTTTCTGATTTATTCTATTGTGCCATCGACCTTCTATTTTGTTTTATCGGAAATATTTAGTTCTAGAGTCTAACAAATTGCCACATTGGGCCCATGTGCTTTCTGGATCTATCACACAGAAGCTTTAGGTAAAGAATACAAAGAACATAAATTAAAAGATACGAATAGGCCTTCCCATTGTGGTCTTTAGGTACAGGCACCTTACATTTTGCCAGTTCTTTTCCAGCACTTTTCTTGACCTTGCTTTTCAGAGCTTCTCACAAAAAACGGTCGTTTGACCGGTCATTTTTTTAAGTTTTAGTGTTTTCGTCTCGTCGCTAGAAGTTCAAGTTTAGAGTCATTCGAATCTTTCCTCACTCTAGAGTCCATCCAAATCTGCAGGTGAAGAAGGTGAGCCGCAGGTCCTATTTCATTCGCTCCAGTCTGAACATCGGCTCACTTTTACTCTGTTTTTTAGTTTAAAACTTTCAGCCTGAAGCCTTATTACAGGGATCTTCAACTCACTTTTACTTTGTTTTTTACTAATTATGGAATTCCAGCTTATTCCATTAAATTAAATTCCAGGTTATTCCATTTGTTTATTGATTAATTAATTTTTAGTTTATTCCAGTTTATTCCTTTCAGTTTATTGATTAATTAATCTTCAGTTTATTCTAGTTTATTCCTTTCAGTTTATTGATTAATTAATTTTTAGTTTATTCCAATTTATTCCTATCAGTTTATTGATTAATTAATTTTTAGTTTATTCCTTTCAGTTTATTGATTAGTTAATTTTTAGTTTATTCCTTTCAGTTTATTGATTAGTTAATTTTTAGTTTATTCCTTTCAGTTTATTGATTAGTTAATTTTCAGTTTATTCCATTCTTATTTCACTAAGTAATAAGGTATTAGTTGACTTTGAGACTTTAAATAGATGACTTGAGACTTTAAATATACTTTCTTCAGTATTAGTTGCTTCTACATTATTTTCTTTATATGTTTTGCAGGTTCGAGAAACAAACGAATCAGATCTCCCTTCAATCCAAAGGTTAACAAGTATGGTTTTACTAGTTTCACATTTTAAGTTCAAAAGACATAAATTGTCAACATCTAACCTGACTAAATGGAATGTTTCTCTAAGCCAGTGTTTGTATATGTTTTTGTTTCCATGTTTTTGCTATCATTAGTAGAATACTCATGATATGAACCGTGATTGGGTGAAGTCTTCAAATCGGATCGCTCCGGCATATGTGGCTGGCATCAAAGAATTCATAAATGTTGCTAAACAGAGTTTAGATCGTAAGGGATTGACAATATGTCCTTGCCGTAATTGCCTTAATTCAAGGAGTCATTCTATTGATGTCATCAGAGCACATTTGATAACTAAAGGAATTGATACGTCATATGTACGGTGGGTGTATCACGGTGAAGAAGAATCTGATGATGAAGGTGCGGGTAATGAAGAGTTTGAAAATGATGAATTTGATGGGTTGAGAGCAGGGCTATATGATGTATTTGGTAATCAATATTTTGATATTGGGGATACCAGTGAATTTCTTACAAATCAGCAACTCACAGCAGAAAATTCTCATTATGAAAAACTATATGAAGCTCTGGATACCCCGTTATTTGTAGGATGTCATACATCCTCTGTATTGACATTCGTGGTAAAATTGATGAATATAAAGGTGATGAATAAGTGGAGTGATGGTTCCTTTGAAATGTTGTTGAAGCTACTACATGAAGTGCTCCCACAAAGCAATAATTGTCCACAAAGCTATTACGAAACTAGGAAGCTACTTTGTGACGTGGGTTTAGGTTACGAACTTATTGATGTTTGCAAATACGATTGTGTGTTGTTCTATGGTGATCATAAGAATGATGTCACATGTCCTATATGTAAATGTAATCGATATGTTCGTAATAAGATTCCACATAAGAGGTTGCGGTATTTCCCGGTGGGACCTCGACTTAAACGTCTGTATGCTTCACGGCACACGGCAAGAGACATGCGCTGGCATAAAGAAGTGCGCAAGGAAGAGCCAGGAGTTCTGCGTCATCCGGCTGATGGGAAGGCTTGGAAGCACTTTGATGAGTTATATCCGGATTTTGTTGCAGACTCGAGAAATGTTAGAATGGGGTTGGCCTCTGATGGGTTTTACCCATTTAGTAATATGTCAACATCACATAGTTTGTGGCCAGTAATTTTGATGCCTTATAATATGCCGCCTTGGAGTATGATGCATAAAAGTAACTATCTTTTAGCATTATTAATTCCCGGTCCTAAGTCGCCTGGTAAGGATTTTGATGTGTTTCTAAGGCCTCTTGTAGATGAACTTAAAATTTTATGGACAGATGGGGTTGAAGCATATGATGAGTATTCTAAATCAAATTTTACTCTCCGGGCAGCAATTCTATGGACTGTAAGTGACTTCCCCGCTTATGCTTACTTGTCTGGATGGAGCACTATGGGAAGAATGGCGTGTCCTGTATGCCTCGAGGACACCAGATGGAAACGAATTCGAGGAAAACAATGCTATACAGGGCATCAATGCTTTCTAAGTGATACACATAGCTGGAGAAAGAATAGGGGATTTGATGGCAAGCCAGAGAGAAGAGGACCGCCTCGAGAATTTTCTGGAGATGTCATTTTACAACAGCTAAAGGAGGTTCATAATGCAACACCTGGAAAAGCTACGAACAATAAAGATAAGAAACGCAAACGTGGTGCTAATGAATTGAATTGGGCCAAAAAGAGCATCTTGTTTGAACTCCCTTATTGGTCGAAATTGTTGATGCGCCATAATCTTGATGTAATGCATATAGAAAAGAATGTATGCGATAATATTGTCGGGACCTTATTGAATGATCCTCTAAAGTCAAAAGATACTTTGAACGCACGTCTTGACTTGGAAGATCATAACATTCGCAAGGAGTTGTGGTTGAGGGAACGAAATAGTAAATTTGAAAAACCACATGCTAAATATACCTTGACTAAAGATGATTGTAAGGAGTTTTGCAAGTTTATCAAGTCTGTTCGCCTTCCAGATGGTTACGCTTCCAATATTAGTCGATGTGTCACAGATGCAAATACACTTGGAGGAATGAAAACTCATGATTGTCATGTATTGCTTCAAAAGATATTGCCAGTGGCTATTCTTGCATTCCTCGATAGGAAAATACGTATCACACTAATAGAGTTCTGTCAATTCTTTCAGAAGTTATGCGCAAAAACCTTATATGTTAGCGAACTTGAGGACATGAAAACTGGGATTGTGATCATATTGTGTAAACTTGAACAAATTTTTCCGATGTCCTTTTTTACAATCATGATTCACCTGTGCGTGCATTTACCAGAACAAGCATTATTGGGTGGTCCAACTCCTCCTAGATGGATGTTTGGAATTGAACGGCGCATGGGTACTTATAAGGGATATGTGCGTAATTATGCTCGGCCTGATGGATCTATTGCTGAAGCTTACGTGGTCGATGAGGCTATTACATTCTTATCTCGATATTTAACTGATATTGAAACAAGATTTACACGCCCAGAGCGCAATTGGGACCTCTCTAGTGAAGACTATAAGATGGACGTGTTTAACCACAAAATACGAACACTTGGAGCTCCTAAATTTGGAAATCTAGGATTAGATGGGAATGTGGTGCAATGGTACCTTCTTAACAATTGTGGAAGTGAGCTCGATGATTACATAAAGTGAGTTTTCCATTATAATTTCATTTCTAGTTATTTTTAATTTATTTGATATTATAAGTAATTTATTTTTCACTTTAGAGAGCATAAGGAACTTATTTGCTTGACAAGCTCACGTGCACAAGAATGGGACAATATTCACAAACGTGAATTTCCTGCTTGGTTCAAGAAAAGGTAAAACCTATATATTAAGTATATAAGTATAAATCAACTTTTTTTTAATTTTAACAATTTATAATTTTAATATTCGGTTTTCAGATGGCTATACTTAGAGTAAATGGTGATCCGGTAGCTAGTGATGATTTGTATTCCTTATCGCAATTACCGGATGATCGTTACACAATTTGGCAAAGTTGTATAGTCAATGGTGTTAGATTTCGATGCAAAGAACGTGATGACAAGTTCAAGACACAATGTAGTGGAGTATGCACTGGAGATGATAATGGTGATACCATTTATTATGGTGTATTACTTGAAATTTTAGAACTTGATTTCATCCTTGGAAGGAAGGTTTTCATGTTCCGTTGCAAGTGGTATAATACTGATCCCAAGGGGAGAACAATGGTGGTTAATTATAAACTGACATCTGTTGACACATCATCCCAGTGGTACACCGAAGATCCATTTATTTTGGCCACACAAGCTCGACAAGTGTTTTATTTAGACGATAAAGCTTTGGGCAAGAATTGGATGGTTGTACAAAAAGCAAATCATCGTTGCATATATGATATACCAGAGCATGATGCTAATGTGGATGCTAGTGATGACATATTTCAAGAGGAAGATGCTAGTGAGTTACCATCTTTTCATCCAATAGAAGAAATTGATGACACACCTCTTTTAGTTCGACAAGATGTAGAGCCAATGGCATTACCGAATAAGGTTGTCCAACAAATGCGGGATCAAACGTCAATGCATATCCAAAATGAAGATTCTTTAGAAGATGTTGAAGATTATGACCCTGACGATGGAGAGCTTTTCTTTCACAATGAATTGATATTAGAGTCTGAGAGTGACAAAGACTCTGATGCATTAGAACTAAATATCAGTGACGATGACTCCATGGCATGACATAAATTTAGTCTTAGGTTATTTTTGTTTGAACTTATTCATATGTATATATCATAGTTTCACTGTGGAATGATTTTAATTCTTTGTTGAATCTTTGTTGCAGGTTTCCCATGGCTAGTTCTAAAAGAGGTGGATATCGTGCACAAGTTGGACGTAGTAGGATTTCTGTTGAAGATCAACATGCTACTGAAGAGCTTCGAGCAGGTTAAGTAAATCAGTGTTTCTATTTAATAACATTTGTTATTTATCTCTCATGAGTTAATTTTCAAAATATATAGTTCATTCCCTAAGAGACACTCAAGTTTCAACAAGAGGTGGGTGTACGAGGAATCCAATAGGACATAGATCTGCATCAGAAGAGTTTCAAACGGGTCAGTTATATCAATAACTATCAACTGTACATTTACTCTCTTGGATTATTTAAAAAGATAATTTCTTTTGGTTGCATGATTTAGAATAACAAGATTACTGTGGTTGCCTCAAAGTAATTATTGATTCAAGATATAAGTACTTATCTCCAACATCAAAAAAATTTATATCAATACTTTATTTTAATAATTCAATGTTCCTTATAATGTAATTAAATAGCTCATTCTCTAGGAGATGCTCGAGTTTCAATAAGAGGTGGACGTAGCTGTAATCCAATTGCACATGATTCTGCAAGAGAAGGGATTCAAGCAGGTTAAATTAGTTATATCAATAACTCGCAATTATTCATTTGTTAAGTAAATATTGCACCTATTAATTAACAGCATTTGTTATATATCTTCTAGATGTTAATTCTCGAAGTTTTATACATATAAAAAATCTAGCATTTTGGTTTAGAATTGTTTTATCTCTAACATAAAAATGTTTATTTCAATCCTTTATTTTAATATTTGAATATTCCTTATAATGTAATTAAATAGCTCATTCTCTAAGAGACACTCGAGTTTCAATCCTTTGTTTTGTTTGATATTTACATCTTTACATTTAGTTTTTTTTGTGAACTCAATGGCATGTGATATAACTTAATAGCATATAGTTTTTGGTAAACCAGTTGTGTTACAAGCAATAAATCTCAAAGGCTTTTTAATTTTCCGAATGAAGAACTGAAGTTATGAAAAGAAAATTAAAAACTGAAATACTTAATGTCTTGAAAATAGAAACTGGATTTTTATGGAAATATTTATGCAGAATAAAAAATAGAAAACGGAAGTTAATGGACTTTTACATTCTCCTAGACAAAAAATAAGACTTTAGATTGTTAGATTGTAATTTAAATCTAATATAATTTTATTTACAGACCAAACTCAAAGCGGCACTCAAGTTTCATCTGCCAATAATGAATCCGCAGAACAAGGTTCAAATGTGCGTGGAATAACATGCAGTAAAGGTGCCCGGAAAGCAATGAGGAGTGCTAAATCACGATTGACGGTAAAGTTTGACTTTGACCTTATGCAAGCAATATGTGACAACACAGAGGTTTTCAATAATGAAGTTGGATATATCCTGCGTACGTATTGCGACCTTAAGTACAAAGAATGGAGGTTTGTACCTGAAAAAGAAAGAGCACCACTTCGTGACAAACTTCGAGTAAGTATACATGAAGACTCACACTACAAACTTCTTGTAGTTTGATTATTATTTTTCAAATAGCGTAGGATGTGAAGCATAGGATCACATAAAATATTCTCCCTCCTCCATAGATTTCAAAATAAGGTTATTTGATCTATATTAATTCTAGATCATAACATTATACCTCTACTATCATCATCTTCCACTCTAAGTTTCATATAACCATTAATCATACTTATTATTCTCTTTGTTATGCAGACATTATTTGATGTTGATTTGGCAGATGCAAATGTCAGAAAAGCTATTGATAAACAAATGCAAAGAGCTTGGCATAACTATAGACGTACGTTACGTGAACATTTTAAAACAGTTGGAGGTGCAGGTGATCTGACGAAGGCAAAGGGTAAGCCTTATGAGGGTGTTAGCGAATCGGATTGGGAATATCTATGTAATTGTTGGAGCGACCCTTCATATCTGGTAAGATGTTTTATACCTAAAGATATGCTGACGTTAATGAATTTTAATTTTTTTAAAAAAGTATATTTAAGTCTTAAAGCTTACTGTAGTAGTAAACGTAGTGAATAGGAGTTTCTTTGCTATAGCATGTTTCGTAGTTTATTTTGAGAAAAACAGCAGGATGCATCATTTATACATTATTGTTGATATTTATAATCATTACTTGTGTTTATTTTATAGCAAAAATCTTTGAAGAATGCTGAGTCATGTAAGAAAAGAAAATGGATTTCTAGAAACGGATCTAAAAGTACAGCACGCCATCACATTAGTCGTGGGGTTGAGTTAAATGCTCATGTTGGTCATATTGAGACGTGGCGTCTCCGTCATTGGCATCCAGAACGTGGTTGGGTATCTGTAGAAGCTGAATCTAAATATGTAAGTGTACTTCACAGACCGTGTGTGTTAACCACAACATCTTTTATTCAAATTAATTAGTTTTACATTATTGACATATATACATGCATGTTCTGATGTTCACAGTTTACCTGATTAATGAATTGTTACTATTCCATTCATAATATAACAGGAAGAAATGATGGAATTGAGAAGAGAAAAATCACCTGAAGATTTAACTGATAAACAAATATTAGAGAAGGTGCTTGGACGAGAATCTGTTCGTCTATTTGGTTGGGGACGGTCTCCCACTGGGTCCAAAAGAAGCAAAGGTGATTCAAATATTCCAACTTATACTCAATTGATGGATCGTGTTGGAGAACTTTCAGGCACTGTTGAAATGATGAAAAAGTTGTTGATTGAGAAGAATATTATGCCTCCCATGTCACATGTTCCTTCAGATCATTGTTCAGTACCGCTTAATCGTGGGTCATCCTCTATTGATCGAGGCCAGCATGTTGACGGTTATGAGGACTCCACTTCTGAATATGATAATATTGTTTAGAAGCAAAATTCATATTAGACTTGATACTTTGTAGTGTGGCAGCAGCTAGTTAATGTTTTATTTTGTTTGGCCATTTTTGATTAGCTAATACTTTGCTGAAATTGAATATTTTAGTTTGAACTATGACATTTATCGTTATAATATATTATCCATTCCCGTGTTCCTATTAGGCTATTACAAAATGTAATTGTTTGATATGTGTATTTAATAAATAAATATAATATTTAATGAAATAGTTTTACCCACTTTTATTACCCACTTTTAAAATACAATTTACCCACACATACACATAACTTTTACCCACACATCTTTATGTCCACGTGGCAACGGCTAAGAGTCATCAGTAATGCCACGTCATTATCCACGTCACACCTGAATTGCCACGTCACAAGCCACGTCATCAGCCACGTGTACTTCCACGTCATATGCCATGTCACAGGTTATTTGGTGAAATGACCAACAACAACACATTTAGAAGTGTTTTAGCTACGCATACATGTGTAGCTATAAATAATAATATTACCCACACATAATTGGAAGTGTAGCTAATAACATTTGTCTACGTTTCCGTACCCACACATCGTAACACTTATAATATGTGTGGGTAAAGATTATTACCTACACATATCTACTGTTTTACCAACACATACGAGTGTGGGTAAATAACCTATTTTCTTGTAGTGCAAGTTGTGGTGGAAATGGAAAGCTGGTAGCTCCTATTGGACAGACTTTATAAAATCAAGATATCAAAAGGATGTAAGTCTATCTCCTAAACTTACAGATTCTGCTATTTGGAGGAGAATATGTGCAGCAAATTCCTTGGGTATTACTGTTTCTTACGCAAATTCAGAAGGGGATATTATCTGGGAGCTAGAAGAAAATGGTAAATTTAGCTTTCAGTCTGTATATCACTACATAAGAGAGGGGAAAGGAAGCAGTTTCATTTTCAAAACAATCTGGCATACTAATCAGCAGATTAAGGTGAAGTTATTTCTTTGGAAACTCTTTCATGATATGCTCCCTATAACTAATAATTTGTGCAGATTTCAGACGGTTCTCAATCCTTCTATATGCCCTATTTGTAGAAAACATGAGGATTCTGTTAATCATTTGTTCTCTCAGTGTCAGTATACATTTGGCACTATTTTATGGGCATTATGAGGATTAAAATTCCTACTGGTAATGTCTCCATAAGAAATATTCTAATGTGTTGGTGGCTCAAAGCTGGAAGTAGGAAGCTAGAAGATGTGTTCAAATATATTCTTCCAGGAATTATTTGTTGGCACATTTGGAAGGTATATTCGAGCATAATTTGGGGCGATGAGAACATACCCCCAACCACTGAACAGGTGATTCAACAGATAAAAATCTACACTCAACAATGGTCATACACTCTGTCAAATCTAAAGGTTGCTTCGATTGGTTCAATTCTTTTTGAAGAAACTATCATTCCCAATAATTTCAGGCTACAGCGAAATTGGTTCATGCTTATCAAATGGATACGGCCAAAGTTGGGTTTGAAATTAAATACAGATGCATCTTTCTTACCTCATCGGGCTTCTGGTGGTGCTGTTATGAGAAATCATCAAGGAAAAATGGTGTTCGCTCTTCGGTTTCCTCTTCTTGCTTCATCTCCCCTTGAGGCGGAAGTTGAATCCATTCTTTTCGCAGTGGGCTGGGCAATTAAAGCGGGTTACAACAATTTTCAGATGGAAACTGATGCAAGGATGGCGATTTCATACCTGTTGGATCCGGATGTGCGAAAATGGCGGAAGGAGATTCAAGAAAGTTTGCTGTTTTCAGACACCGCTTCGGTTTCCTTTGTTCATGCATTGCGCGAGGGTAAATGGGTAGCTCATATGCTGGCTTCGGAAGTAACGGAACGGCCCAGTTGGAAATTTTCATGGACTTGGGTAGTCTTCCAATTAAGGCTAAACGGGCCTTAAATATGGATTTTTTTGGGCTTCCTTCTATTGGATTTTTGATTTGATGATTTTGTAATTTTAAGAGGTTTGGTTTAATCCCCTCTTTGTATACTCTTTGTTTGTTTTTAATAAAATTTGGCAAGTGTTCCCCCGGCATTTGCCCCACTGATTTTGGTGGTTTGCCTTCCGGGATAATATATATATATATATATATATATTCTCTTTATATATAAATTGCCTAAGGTAGTTAACTTGGGCGATTTAACGTTGCTACAGTCCCAATTTTTATGCTACGTTTACGACATCCGTTTGCTAAGACGTGGTTGCATGCGAACCTTTCGTTTTCCATCCTCAATCGATATCTCACATATCTGCTGCTCCGTTTTTCAGAAATGAAATCATCTAGGGTTTTCCCAGTTGGAATATGATGAAATTCTCCCCCGTGGTCTATTCATCAAGTAAACCCTTTAAATAGGGTTGAATATTATACAAGGATGATACTCTACGTAACTAACTGCTAAGCTATTCTATTGTACTGACTTCCGTAAGTCTCTATACAATGAATGTGGACAGTGTGTAGATAAGACTTTACAATGAGATAATATCAAAGTATAATAATTAATCTAATGGAGTTATACAGCTATGAGGAGACTTCTACGTATGCATGTGTGGACATGCATTTGTGAGTAACATTTATTTATGCTAACACGCCCCCGCAGTCGAAGCGGGAGGGCCACGAATGCTGAGACTGGAACGAAACTCTTCAAATAAAATCCGGGGTAGCCCTTTAGTAAAAATATCAGCATATTGATGTCGTGATGGGACGTGAAGAACCCGGACCTGCCCACGAGCGACTTTTTCACGAACAAAGTGAATATCCATCTCAATGTGTTTGGTGCGCTGATGTTTAACCGGATTGGTAGAAAGGTACACAGTACTAATGTTGTCACAATATACAATAGAGGCTTTGGCCGGCGGATGATGAAGTTCAAGTAACAGATTACGTAGCCAACAAAGCTCAGCAACGACGTTGGCAACCCCACGGTATTCGGCTTCGGCACTAGAGCGTGAGAGAGTAGGTTGTCGTTTGGATGACCAAGAAAGTAGGTTGTCCCCCAAAAATACGCAATAACCGGACGTGGAACGACGGGTATCGGGGCAGCCACCCCAGTCAGCATCAGAATATGCAACAAGATCATTGATAGGAGAAGAATGCAAGTGGAGCCCGAGATGCAATGTACCCTGGATATAGCGTAAGACACGCTTAAGAGCATCAAAGTGAGATGCACGTGGGTCATGCATGAAAAGGCACAGTTGTTGGACAGCGTATGAGATATCCGGGCGAGTGAAAGTGAGGTATTGCAGTGCTCCGGCAAGACTGCGGTAGAGAGTGGGGTCTTGGACTGGGGGTCCGGCCGAGGCACTTAATTTTGATTGAGTGTCAACGGGGGTTGTTACGGAGTTGCAAGAAAGCATACCGGCACGTTGGATAATTTGAGAGGCATACTTGGTTTGGGAAAGGAAAAGGCCGTGAGAATGCCTAGTAACAGAGATGCCCAAAAAATATGTGAGTGGACCAAGATCAGTCATAGCAAATTCGGCGGCGAGACGGCTAATGATGAGGCTGCGGAAGGAATCTGAAGAGGCTGTCAAGATGATATCATCAACATATAATAAAAGATATGCCGTGTCAGAACCATGTTTGTATATGAAGAGAGAGTGGTCACATGTGCTGTGAAGAAAACCAAGTGTAGCAATATAAGCAGCAAACCGTTGATACCATGCTCTGGGGGCCTGTTTAAGACCATAGAGAGATTTAATCAGGCGACAAACATGGGAGGGACGGTGAGGGTCACGGTAGCCCGGTGGTTGATACATAAAAACAGTCTCATCAAGATGACCATGTAAGAAAGCGTTCTTGACGTCAAGTTGATGAAGTGGCCAGGAATGAGAGAGAGCAATGCTGAGGACTGTGCGTATAGTAGCTGGTTTGACCACGGGACTAAAAGTCTCGTCACAATCAACCCCAACTTGTTGAGATTTCCCATTGACAACAAGGCGGGCCTTATGTCGTTCAAGTGTGCCGTCAGACCTGTACTTGTGCTTAAACAACCACATGCAACGGATAATATTAGTGTTAGGAGGACGGGGAACCAACTCCCACGTCTGATTCTTAATTAAAGCACTAAACTCATCATCCATAGCGGCTTTCCAGTTTGGGTCTTGGAGGGCTTGGATGGGAGACCGGGGTAAAGGAGACGGAGTAAGTGCGTTGGACAGACTGTAGAGATGCTTGGGTTTGAAAATTCCATCCCGACTGCGGGTAAGCATGGGATGTTGGGTGGGACGAATTTGGTTTTGTGGGTTGACGGGAGATGAAATATTGCTGGAGGCAGTATGTGGAGAATGTGTAGTTGACTGGTCATGTGAGGAGTGGGGAGGTGATGTATTATTGGTGGAGTGTGGGGCCGAAGTATTATTGTGGGAGAGAGGAGATGTTTGGGCAGTAGGTCCATGTGAGGATAGAGTAGGAGTGAGTGGGAAGGTTTCGGTGATAAGATGTGGGCACCGAATGGTTATGTGAGGTGGGTCCAGAAAATTATATGATGGGACAGGTGTGGTGGGAAGGTTTTTAAATGGGAAATTTGACTCATCAAAGGTAACGTGACGAGAAATAATAATTTGCTTGGTAGTGAGATTCAAACATAGGTAACCTTTGTGTTGATCCGGAAAACCCAAAAATACACATGGTATAGCACGAGGGTGAAGCTTATGGGCAGTAGGGGAGACATTGTGGGGAAAACATAAGCACCCAAATGTCCGGATATGACTGTAAGAAGGCTGTTGGTGGTATAGTTTGTGGGTAGGTGAGAGGAAGGAGATAGTTTGATTTGGGAGGATATTATAGAGGTAGGTTGCCATTTTGACAGCGTGAGGCCAGAAAGTAGGAGGTACTGAGGCATGTAGGAGAATGGTGCGGGTGATATTATTTATAGTACGAATGGATCTTTCGGCTTTGCCATTTTGAGGGGATGTG